GTGTCGCTGACGACGGCGCCGCTCGTCACAGCCAGCTGGCGCATGCTGGCGCCGTGGCGCGCCGTGGCGGCACACTGGCCGTGCCCTCCGCGCCATCCGCCAAAGACTAATGATGCGAACGAACCGCATCCGCTGGCGCCGCCAGGCGGAGGGAGCGGGCAGCGCGGCGGCGCGCTGCCGAAGAGGGAAGTCCCTTGTCCGCCCGACGGTCAGCCTGCAGACTGACTCCGAGAGTCGTTTTCGTCGCTCTGTCTCTCTCGCACCTATGCGCGACGCCCCATGACTGCGAGAGAGACAGAGCGACGAAAACGACTCTCGGAATCAGTCTGCTGACGATGGCGGCGGCGAATCTGGCCGACACCCTGTCCCTCCTCTGCAAACTCGGTGGCGGTCGCGGTCGGTCGGTGGGTCGGTGGTACTGGGGTTCCAAAACGAGCCCGACCCCCCGCGCTGCCCGCGGCCCGCCGTCGCCGTCGTGCATATGCAAAATGCAGGGCCAGTGGAGGACGTCGCCGTGGCCACAGAGCCAAGGGCGGATCCAGAGACGGGTGGGGAGGGGGGGGCGAAGTTGCCTACCTACAGGGGCCAAGTGCGACTTGTTGCCTACCTTTCAGGCGGGCCTGCACAGAGCACTGCAGAGCTCCAGCACACTGTTTCCGAGAGTCGTTATCGTCGCTGTCTCTCTCGCGCAGGGACGACGCGGAGTTCGGGAATTTCGTTAACCGCGTGGCGACCACCGCCAAAGTAAGCAGCGAAGCCCTAGGAAGCCATTGGAAGACAAGACGCCGCGTTGCCGAAATGAACGTGCAGCCTGATTCCGAGAGTCGTCTTCGTCGCTCTGTCTCTCTCGCACTGATGGGGTTTCCCTTGCTTCCCTCGTGGGTGCGAGAGAGACAGAGCGACGAAGAAGACTCTCGGCGTGTACCGCCTCGCTGACGAGGTGCTTCCGGGCGGTGCCCGCGTTCGCGGCTTGGCGGTCGCGCGGTTTTTTTGTTGTGCACCGCCAGCCTCGGCGAGCCTCGGCACGGGAGCACCGCGTCAAAGTGACCGCGACGCTACGCACAGTGGGCCAGAAGACCGGTGGTGGCGGACAAAACTCTCGACACGTTTTGAGCTCCAGAGTCGCTAAATGGGACTCGAACCGAACGTGTGACCCTACCAATGTATTCCTCGTTCGGAGAGCAATCCATTGGTGGGGTCACACGTTCGGTTCGAGTCCCATTTAGCGACTCTGGAGGTCAAAACGCGTCTAGGGTTTTGTCCACCTCCACCGGTCTTCTGGCCCACTGTGCCACGGCTAGACGGCTATACCATGGCTAGACAAAAGGCCCCGGCCGGCCGGCCGGACTCCCCCGACGCAAAGGTCACTTCGCATCTCACTTTCAGTTTTCGAGACGAGATAATTCGCGATTTCGCGCCGCCCGAGTCAAGTCCCCCGACCTGCCACACGCCGCTGTCAGGCCTTCATCTCTCTCGCACCGACACGCAGCGCGCTGTCAGACCTCCTCTGTCTCTCTCGCACCCACAAGCCGTCCGCTGCCTGCCGCGATGAACGGGCCACGAATTAGGAGGGTGGGCTGTGCAACCGGCGGGGTGATTCCGAACACTCAGTCTCTCTCGCACTCCTTCGGCACGCCGCGTGAGTGAGAGAGGCAAACGGCTGCACTGCTTCTCGCTTTACAAAGAGGCGCCCGGGCCGCGAGGCCGCGAGGTCGTCGCAGGATCACGTTTGGGCCGATCCGGGCAATCCGGAGACGGATTCCGAGAGGCGTCTTCGTCGCTCTGTCTCTCTCGCACTCATGGGGCGCCTCCTTGAGGTGCGAGAGAGACGGAGCGACGAAAACGACTCTCGGAATCCGTCCGCCGGGCGGCGTGGGAGGGCCGCGTGGAAGTCGTCGAAAAGTGACAGGCTGATTAGAGGGCCGCGCTCCGGCCGCGCCACCGCAGGGCCACCCAGCCACACGGCTAGCACACTGCCCGCTCTCGCGGCCCGTCTCTCTCGCACCCCAGCGGCACACTTCATGGGTACGAGAGAGACGGCGGCGGCGGGACCGCTCGACAGGTCGGGAAGACACTTTCTGCGCAAGACTGGGCGGTGCGTGACCCCGCGAGCACCTGGCGCGGCAGGCACAGCAGGCACCTTCGCTTGTCTTCCTCGCACTCTGGGGCCCCCTCGACTCAGGGTCACCCCGTTGAGGAGCACTCTTAGAGACTAGAAGATTGAGAGACAGAGAGAGAGAGAGAGACTTTGAGACGAAGAAATAGTTAGAAAGCTGCAAGGCTTCTGATTAACATGCAAATGCCAAAATAATTCGCCGCACTTCCGCCTCCACTTGCAGTGTACACGCCGCCCTTCCGCAAGGAATCCAGGAAGTGCGTTTTCCAAGTATAAATAATGAATTTTGAGTTCTTTAGCACTTTTGCGCGCGTGCGACCTGGCCGAGGGATTTTTCAAGGTGTCGCGGCGCGGTCGCCTGCGGTCGCCCGGCCAGTGTATCGCCCCGCACTGCCCATCTGCGGGTCGAAGCCACCGCAGCAGACTGATTCCGAGAGTCGCTTTCGTCGCTCTGTCTCTCTCGCAGCCGCAAGGGAAGCCCCATGAGTGCGAGAGAGACAGAGCGACGATAACGACTCTCGGAATCAGTCTGCAGTGAACGATGCAGCCGCAGCCATCTGTCTGCAGGCTGATTCCGAGCACTGCTCTCGTCGCTCTGTCTCTCTCGCACTCATGGGGCGTGCCGTACGGGTGCGAGAGAGACAGCCACAAAAGCAGTGCTCGGAATCAGCCTGCTGGTTGCCGCCTCGGCACTACAAGACACCGGCCGAAGCGCGCGTCGCTCGGCTTGGTCCGGTTGCCCATGGCGACCGCCACAGGTGAACCGCAGCATCAGCCAGCTGTCTCATTCAGAAGAGTGCTTTCGTCGCTCTGTCTCTCTCGCACCCTCGGCGGAACGCCCCTTGATTGCGAGGGAGACGGAAGCGCTGTTCGGAATCTGTCAGCAGCGTGACGTGGGGCGCTGCACAGTGGGCCAGAAGGCCGGCGGAGGCGGCCAAAACTCTTGACGCGTTTTGAGCTCCAGAGTCGCTAAATGGGACTCGAACCGAGCGTGTGACCCCACCAATGAATCGCTCTCCGAGCGAGGAATCCATTCGTTCGGTTCGAGTGCCATTTAGCGACTCTGGAGCTCAAAACGCGTCTAGAATTTTTGCCGCCTCCACCGGTCTTCTGGCCCACTGTGCGCTGTTTTGGACCGCAATGCATCACAGAGTCATTAGCGGCACTATTCGAGTCCGTTCGATCTCCGCCCCGTCGCCATGGCAACCTGAGGGGCACGGCACGGCACGGCACTGCAAGGCACGACACAGCACTCCACGGTGGAGCGGCAGCGAAGCGTGTGGCGTGACACCAAGGGGCTCCGTTTCACCTTTTGTCGTGTCTCTACAGCATGTTGATATGTTTTCTAGGAATGAAATCAGAGAAGCTCTGTTTCGCCTTCACCTTGCTTTTTCAGTTCCTTGAGTATGTTTACAAAGAAAAAGGAAACGATGTTTTTGGCAGAGACGAGAAAAAGATGTCTTGAGTCACAGAGTCACATTTTGTTGTATGCATCTCAAGGTCGAGGGTTCTGGTCTCCTTTTTTGAGGAAGAAAGAACAATTGGTCAGAGGAAAAATTATGCCCGTCAAACACTTCATTTATTCACAAAACAAAAACGCTCCGATAGACAAGTACGCAACACGCACTTTTGTAATCGCGATTGAATCCTACTCACCCAGACACGCGGACAGAGAAATGTTCGAAGGAAAAATAAATACAAAAACTCTCACACACATACACAGAGAACACGCACTCACACACACACACACACATTCATTAAATACAGGTAATAATTACAAAACAGGATTAGAACGATGACGCGGTCAGCAGCGCGCTGTGAATGCCGCTGCTCTACCACTCAGTCGAGTGACGAATCACTGACGACGCATGAGACGGCGATCAAGGGTTCGGCAGTCGGAGAGTCCGTCCATCATGGTCCATCATCGGCCCATCATCGGTGGCCAGCGCCGCGGCGCCGCGGCCAGGGTCCTGGGGCACAGTGGGCCAGAAGACCGGTGGAGGCGGACAAAACCCCGGACGCGTTTTGACATCCAGAGTCGCTAAAGGGGACTCGAACCGAGCGAGTGACCCCACCAATCGATTGCTCTCCGAACGAGGAATCCTTTGGTGGAGTCACACGTTCGCTTCGAGTCCTGCTTAGCGACTCAGGAGCTCAAAACGCGTCTGGACTTTTGGCCGCCTCCGCCAGTCTTCTGGCCCACTGTGTGGGGCTGCCTGGCCGCCTCTCTGCCACTGCCGGCGGCGCCCTTGAGCCTGCCGATGCCGAGCACCGAATTCTCGTCGCCCTGTCCCTCTCGCACTCACGGGGCGCCCCGAAAGGCTGCGAGAGAGACAGAGCGTCACCACGCAGTGCTCGGACTCGGCCTGCAGCGAGCGCAGCGCCAGCACACTGACTCCGAGTGCGGTTTTCGTCGCTCTGTCTCTCTCGCACCCATACGCGACGCCGCGAGTGCGAGAGAGACAGGGCGACGACAACGACTCTCGGACTCGGCCCGCAGTCGTCCGGGGAATGCCCGCGGGTCTCGCAGTCGTCGCGCTGCGCCACGTATGTCGATCGTCCATTATGTCAGTCCAGATGGCGACAACAATAAGTTAGGAGGTCGTCCAGCGGGGCGGTCTTCTTGGTCTTCTGCCGGACTCGGCCGGGGCCCGCCCAGTGGCGGATCCAGAGACGCGTTCAGCGATGCCGCAACAGTTGCCTGTTTCCAGGGGCAAGGTGGAGCCTTTTGCCTGCCTTTCAGGCGGCTTCGCCGTCCGAAGGGGGCTTGACGTCCTCGTCGTCCCCGCCCTGGATCCGCGCCTGGGCCTGCCCGTCCTCACGGGTCTCACGGGCCTCACGGCGTCCCGGCCGTCCGGACTCTAGTCCCGGCCGGACAGCGCGAGGCGGCTTGAGGCGGCGCTCTGCCCATGGCTCTGCCCATGGCCCCGCCACGCAACCCGCTGGACCGTTTGGAAATGAGACCGGGACTGGGATCGCAAAGCGGCCCGGCCCTCGCGCCCTGTCCGTGCTTGCATCAGTCGGCGCGAGAGTCAGGACCGCGATGAGGACGCCGACGACGAGGACGACGACGACGAGGAGGAGGACGCGGCGGAGCGACGCCGGCGCCGGCGGTAGTCCAGGTCGAGGTCGTAGTCGTAGGAGTCGAGGTAGGTCGGCGCGTACGTGTCGTAGTCCAGGCTGCTGTAGTAGGACGGCACGAAGTCCAGGTCGTAGTCGAGGCCGCCGTAGTAGGCGTCGTAGTCGTAGCCGTAGTAGTCGTCGCTGTAGTCGAAGCCGTAGTCACTGTAGAACGGCGGCAGGTAGCCGCCGGGCAGCGGGCCGCCCAGGACGACGGAGTCCAGGAAGTAGTCGGCGAAGCCGCTGCGCTTCACCATGACGCGGAAGCCGTTGATGGGGTCGGACGAGTACTCCACCACCACCAGGGAGCCGTCGGCGTCCACCAGGGAGTAGCCGCCGCGGACGAACGAGCCGTCGCGGTTCTCCCACTGGTCGCGGATGTAGCCGGACAGCGCGCCCGAGAAGGAGCCGAAGGTGCGCGCGTACTGCGGGATCACCTGCGGGGCGAAGCGGACGCACAGGGCGGCGTCGCTCAGTGGACTTGCCAGAAGGCCGACGACGGCGGCCGGAACTCTAGACGCGTTTTGAGCTCCAGAGTCGCTAAACGGGACTCGAAACCAGCGTGTGACCCCACCAATGTATTCCTCGTTTGAAGAGCAATCCATTGCTGGGATCATCCGTTCGGTTCAAGTTCCATTTAGCGCCTCCGGAGCTCAAAACGCGTCTAGAGCTTTGGCCGCCGACGTCTAGAGCCTAGAGGAGAGAACTGCAGACTGATTCGGAGAGTCGTTTACGTCACTCTGTCCCTCTCACACTCATATGGGGCGTCCCGAGCGGGTGCGTGAGAGACAGAGCGACGAGGACAACTGTTGACTGGCGGCGGTGGAAACGGCGGGCAGTGAAAGAGACTACTTACAGGCAGCTGGGCGGGCTTCACGATGGTGGTGACGCCCCCGCCGGGGCTGAGCACTGCCGGCGCCCCGCCGGTCACCACCGTGGTCCCGGGGACGACGCCGACCCCCACGGCCCGTCGGCCGATGGCCGCCGCTGCCGCCGCCGCCGCTGGGGACCCGGGGACCACGCCGACGCCCACGGTCGCTGCGAGGGAAGTCTCCGCCAGCGCCAACACAACCGCCACCTGTGGGGGGAGTGGTGTGTCAGTGTCACAGGCCGGGCACTAAAGTCCAAGCTCCGGGAGGGTCTCCGCGTGCTCTGTGGGGCTTACTAGGAGAGTCAGCATTTTGCACCGGGCTGCTCTGAAGTCTGCGAGTTGTGCTGGAGGCGATCGGTCACCGTCTGCCGATCCGGTGGCCGCCACCAGGCTTTATACCGCCGCGCGTCCTGGCCGTGGCCCTCGAGGCCCTCCAGGCTCCCCGGGGAAGACCGGAAACAATGCGCTGTGTCCACTGGTGCATCTTGCTTCCGGAAAGCGAAAACGAAAATCGAAGTGGGGGCAGCGCGCCGCGGGGGAAGGACAGGGGCGGCCGAGACAAGGGGAGGTACAGTCCGGACAGAGAGCCGCCGCGGTCCAGCAGACTGATTCAGAGTCATTTTCGTCGCTGTCTCTCTCGCACCTAAACGGGACGCCCCATGAGTGCGAGCGAGAGCGACGAATCAGTCTGAATCAGTAACGCGGCCCGCACAGTGGGCCAGAAGACCGGTGGAGGCGGCCAAAACTCCAGACGCGTTTCGAGCTTCTAAGTCTCTGGGACTCGAACCGAGCGTGTGACCCCACCTATGGATTGCTCTCCGAACGAGGAATCCATTATTGGTGGGGTCACACGTTCGGTTCGAGTCCTGTTCAGCCACTCTGGAGGTCAAAACACGTCTAGAGTTTTGGCCGCCTCCACTGGTCTTCTGGCCCACTGTGGCCCGCCGCTCGCGGCTCTAGTAGTGCGGGTCGTCAGTCGATTGTGCGGTCAAACGCTGCTCCGGGAGTCAGATCCGGCCGGACAAGACGCTTTACTGGACTTGGAATTTGGTGTTTGGGCCGTCTGTACTCTAAGCGCGAACGAAGGACCTTCCCGTTACGGATGACTGGGGCGGGCAGGCCGGGCGGCGGGGGAAACGCGTCTAGGGGCGGGCAAGGCTGCAGGACTAGGGCACTGGATCCGATCCGGCACCTTTAGTCTTTTTCTCCTCAGTGAGGGTTCAGCCAGCGAGCAGGAGCGGCCGATCAGCGCGGTGCCATCACCACGCCAAGTTACTTCCGAGCGGAAAGCGACATCCCCAACGGCACTCGTGTAAATTTGGTCAGAATGTCAGAAACGTGTCTGAAATCCTGATCAAAAGTCGCGCACAAATTCTGAAAACTTATGCTCCTGAGTTCTGCAGAATGTCAGAACATGTTTTCAGCTTTCAGAGGTGCGCGAATTTTGATCAGGTTTTCAGACACGTTTCTGATATTCTGATAAGATTTACACGAGTGGGAGGGATTGCAGAGCGCGCGACGACACGAGTGGTTGGTACATGATGGCCTACATGATGGTAACTTGGCTTTGTTTTCTGCCTCACAGTAAGTCTAAGTAACGGATTTCATTTCAAGGCTCAAGTCAGCAGTCAGCATGTGCGCTTAGAAACTCTCAAACTTGGTGGTCTAAAAGTAGTAGTTGGTATCTGATAGAAACAAGTCACTCTTTTAATATTTATTGTGGAAGACATGGTTTGGTCACAACGGAAATAAGTGAGTCATAACAAACATTGCTGCTACCGTGATGCAGGTAAATTAATTAACAATATTTAAGAGGTAAGAACCATTTTGTTAAGTACAGCCATGGTTTAGCATGATCCAGTCTTCATGTATCACAATGATGGAATAGAAACTACTCATTTAGCCCTCAAGAGTGGATGTTGATCAGGATTCTGCAAGCTTTAAACAAATGACCTCTTAATTTGGCTTCTTGACGATTAGAAAATACATAGCCTCACTGTTTATTACTATCACACACCGATAACATAGCTCCTAAAAATAATAAGTCGGAGTTTAACACAAGATACAAAACTAGGCTGTAACGAACATAGTATACTTGATTCAGATTTCATAATCTTCAACAATTTAAAGAATCTACACTGATACATATAAAAGCACTTTTATATAAAAATTAAACATTGACAAAGTTCTCAAACAGTGACAAGCACACAACACATGTGGCAAGACCCACCACACTAACATTCTAATATAGTGTCATTTCAAAAAGCAAGTTGATTCAACTTCCACAGGATGAAAAATACTGCTGCTAACTAATTAACACACCAACAATACAAATTCAGGACCATTTCACATTTGTACTTTCCAGCACAGAAACACACAAGACAACAAAGGGACCACTACTGAGACAAAATGTAACTGTAAGGGAACTTAGACCTTTCCATTAATGGAAAGAAGAACAACAGGAAAATTAAATGGAGTGTGTTATTAGACCAACATCAAACTGAATTATTTTTTTTTTAAAAAAGTTCAATTTGCTGAAGAAAATTTAAAATGCAAAATTCCACACTTCAATGCCTTTCACATATTCCCAGCAAAGAAGTCAATCCACTAGAAAATAACACATTTCTCAAGATGAGTTGTATTCTGACACTGCTCCATCTTAAATTTCCTAAAGTTATTCGGTTACATCGATCAGCAATACGAATACTCTGACAAAAACACATTTGCAATGTGTATCAGCTTTGGTTCTGTGTATCATGTTTCATGCACATGTAGACTTTCACACCATAAAAATAAACTAGGTAAAAAACAATCTAGAAATTAAAGCAACAGAATATTTTCTTAAAAAAGAAGAAAAATCATTCAGTTCTACTTCTGATAAGATATCAAAAAGTTCTCATGGCAAATAACATAGATGTGAATAGAGTGGATTAAAACAAATTAAAACATAACCCTTCCTGATTGTATAATTGAGACTACATAGCAGTGCAGTAATTTTAACAAAGAATATTGTTCACACATTTTTAAAAAAAGGAAAACAACACTAGGCTGACTCACTGAGGAGCTACCACAGGGTTTCGCATTTTGCCAATACCAACGATCTCACTCTCAATCACATCTCCCGGCTGCAACAAAAAAAGAAAACAAATCAAGTTTTCATGAGGTTTTTCTTACAATAATATCTCTTACCACAAAAATTTAAAAACAAACGATGAAACAACTATCAAGATTTACCTTTAAAAATTCTCTGGGGTTCCTGAAAACACCAACACCAGCTGGAGTTCCAGTCAAGATGATATCCCCCGGAAGAAGAGTTAACAAACTGTTGAGAAATTATAACTATTAGATAATAATATGACTTCAGAAATTCTGTTGTTCAACTGGACCTGCAACATAGTAGTTAAAACACCATTGCTGCAATCCTTTACTCACTGTGAAAGATGAGAGATAATGTAGTCAACTCGGTGGACTAGCTGGTCAGTGTTGCTGTTCTGCTTCTTGACTCCATTTATGGCGCAGGACAATGGGAGTACATGGGGTCCTTTAGGTAATTCGTCAGCAGTGACAACAGCAGGTCCTAATGGGCAGAAAGTGTCCATACTCTTTCCTAGGAGCCATTGGCCACCATTGCGGCCCTTTTGCCAGTCACGGGCAGATATATCCTGGAAAAATGTTTAACCGACATTGTTTAAGCAGTCCAAATACCACACCCATAACATAAAAAGTGGATACATACCTGGGCAACTGTGTAACCAAATACATTTTCCATAGTGTTTTCCGGCTTAAGATTACGGCAGGGCTTTCCGATCACTACAACCATTTCAACTTCCCAGTCCACTTTCTAGAAGAAGGGTTTTAATAAATTAATAAAAATGCTATCTCTTTCTATATTACAAAATTGACAATCCTACTTACTGTAGATACTGTGGGTAGGACAACATTGTCAGTTGGGCCAACTATACAACTGGCGAACTTTGAGAAGAACATGGGCTCATGAGGGGGCTCGATGTGTTGTTCGTTGCAGTGACACCGGTAATTCAGGCCCACACAAATAACTTTACCAGGATTAATTAGTGGCGCTAACAGCTTGACGTCCTTTGCTTGAGCCTTCGAGGTGGACTGTGAAGCTGCCCTGAAACACACCAAGTGCATTAAGCAAAGGCAGGACAGCAGTTAAACTTCATATGACAGCAGTAGATGAAACCAGTTAAAGGAACGTAGAGGCAAAGGCAAAGAGTGAGGCAAAGGCAAAGAATGAGGCAAAGGCAAAGAGTGAGGCAAAGGCAAAAGTAGGCAGTAGAGACGACTCAAGCAACTCCAAGTTCAACTTACTTCTCTGCCTCAGCCCAAAGTGCAGGGCCCCCCTGAATGAGCTGCACCAAATCATTGGGGATCTTGCCATTGCCGCCCTGACTGCTGATTTCCGTGATTTCGCCGTCCTGCTGGGGCTGCACACCCAGCCTCACCGGCCCCCCTCGCAGGTCGGAGAACTGCACTAGGCGCATGTTGAGGGCGGCACCGGTGGAAAACCAAGACGAGGGCGAAGACGGGCTGCTTGTTTTGGACTCCAAGTCACATAACCTACGCACGAGCAAGTGTCCTCGTGACCGGACTCCCAGCATACTTGACTGATGCTTCAAAGTGTGCATCAGACGGTGACAACCGGTTTTCAAGGTCATTCTTGATACGGGCTTTTATTTCGGCGGCGAAGGAGACACAAATACGGGCAGTTAGCACCCACTCGGCTCGCCGTACAGCGCAGCGCACAGCAGACGGGGCTCGCCGCTCGCTCTTGCAGACTGTTTCTGTTTTCCCTTTCCCCTCCACTCTCCTCCCCCGTCCCTGCCAGGTCCCTGCTCCCCACTCCACACTCGCCCCTTTCCCCTTCCCACCCCTTCCCTCCCCACCTCCGCCCCGCGCCCCGCCCCTGCTCAGCAGCAGGCAAATTTCCAACCATGGCGTCGTCGCTAGAAAATCTTGAAACTCAGCTAGAGCTTTTCATTGAAAATGTAAGACAGATACGCATTATAGTCAGTGATTTCCAGCCCCAAGGACAAAGCGTTTTAAATCAAAAGATGTGAGTACCACCCCTTTTGACGATTTTATTATCATTCTATGTGGAGAATGACAGATACCTAACCTTAACGGGCCTTGTCTGGACTATTTTCATGATGAAAGTTTCGCATTTGAACGAACCTTATCAATTTTCTTTAGTTCATTTTATTTCCTTTTCGTCAATTATTACCTACAGCTGTTCAAACTATCTGTTTCTAACCGGAGAATCATGTTTTTTTTCCCACAAATGCACTGTAACCGCTGTCATAAAATGATCTGAAGCTTTTCGCGTTCCCATTGTTTTTGTTTTCTGTGCTTTTGTCTAAACTTCACTCTCTTTGTTTTGTTACAGTCAGTCTCTCGTGCATGGACTTCAGGAGGTGGACAAACTCAAAGATCAAGTGAAGGATGTACATGTACCACTCGAAGTTTTTGAGTAAGTTAAATACAGTTTTGTCCATTGATTGTACTGATTTAGCTTTTGAGTGCTAATTTCGTTTCTTTTTGTCTGCTCAGCTACATTGATTCAGGCCGTAACCCTCAGCTTTATACAAAAGACTGCATAGAGAAGGCACTTACAAAGAATGAACAAGTGAGAGGCAAAATTGATGCATATCGCAAGTTTAAAGCTCATCTCCTAGTAGAACTAAACAACTCATTCCCCAATGAATTGAACAAATATCGAGCTATTCGTGGCGATGAAAGGCCTTTGGCATGACATGTACCTAATTTAGGATGTTAATTTCCTCTTCCATTATTTGATAAGCAAACAAGTTTTTGATTTTAAGTAGCTATATTTCCTGTTTCTGACCAATAAATCATTGTTGAATGAAGGAACTTATTAATTATCATTGCTTGTTGCACTTCTACCCTTCATGATTTCCTTAACATAAAATAGAAAATATTTTAACAAAATATTCTTTAGAAATCATATAATTTATTGAAGCCATAACAAGAACTAATAATACTGTAAGATGGCAATGCAGAACAGAAACAATTAAAAAGAAAGGAACAGTCCACTCTTCAAAATAAATATCTCAACAGATACAGTAGTTGGCAATGTACGTAAATTGTACAAACCGTCAAGAACAACTTTTAAATCAACTTGGTAGTAACAAACTTCTTAAACTAGCACTAGAGCTTCACATAAGATTGTCATTAATAGCAAAGACATTGGTAATTTAAATTAAAGCATGCAGGAACAAATTAAGAAAGTTTATACAACTCATCTTTTACCAGCAGAAGGCCTTTGCGGTTGAGGTGTATAAGATCCTTTCGATTAGAGGATTCAAATTTCCTAGAAAAAATAAAAACAAATTAATTAAAAAGGATATTAGCAAAAATAAAGGAAAGGACTAGTTAAACACATACAATTCAAAGCAATCCATTCTGCACTTTGAAATTCTTTTGTCACAATACAATCTGCAGATATCTAGGTGGGAAATATGAGGGGGACCTGTAGAAATAAAAAATTAACTCAATTAACATAGAAACTTAGATGAGAATCAGTTAAATCTTATCAAAATCAGTCAAGAATGCTCGAGGCCAAAATTAAGGAGTGTGAAAGCTTTAAGTCAGGCTGACTGAACATTCAAAAATTAAGTTTCTGAAAGGTATTTAGGGAATAATTCAATGTAATATAAAAGAAGAAGAGAACAAACGCACTTGTGCTGATAAGTACACTAGTCAACAGGTCAGTTTCTAATGTGTCATCTTCATCTGACCATGTGGAGTCACTGAACCCATCAACTTCTTCCGTGCAAGTCAGACATCCGCGGCAAAAAGGTGAATCTGAATGGAACTCAGCCAACAACTCCTCCTCTTCGAGCTCCTCTTTGGAAAGAAGATATTGGGGAGAAATGTCGAATACACTTATTCCCATCTCTGTAATGACCATGATGCCAATGTGTAAAGCAATACTGTGACAGCCAAAATGTAATAAACAGTATGGACCAGATAAATGACATTTATAAAATTATTTTCCTGTCTTTAAATAGAGCATTGGGCAAGGCAAACATACTCAAAGCTAATAGATTTCACAGAAATAGAGAGCAAGAGAACGAGGGAGGGGGATAATTGTTGTTCAGTCAACTTGCTTTTTCAGCACTCCCCTCAAAAAGGACCTCAGCTTTTAAATTGATGCAGAGTGATTTACATGAAGCATAGTGCTTACCAGCATTGTTTAGTGTCCTGATAAAGTCGTTGTACTTATTCAACCTTGTCCAGTGGTGGGTATAATGCTCTTGGAGAGGAACAGGTGGTAATGTTAGGACTACTATTTTCTCAGCCTTGGTACACAAATAATCCAGAACTCGACGCAATTCATGTATCATTTGCTCAGCTTGACAATTCTGTTCCAACAACAGATGAAAACAAAATGAATGAGACAACTTCTATAGCAAAAACAGGAAAATAAAGAAAACAAGGAGCAAGTACATACTTTGACAAGGTCATTTGTTCCGATCATAAGAACTACTTTACTTCCTATGTGATAAAACCCTGATTTTAAGCGTTTCAATAGATCTCCAATTCTCTGGCCACTCACACAGTATCCTAAAAATCGTATGCTCTCTGTAAAAATTAAAATAAAGGAGTGTAAAGTTTGATGTCATTAATAAACATGTAACCAAATTAACTTAAAAAAAGTACATTACCACTAAGAATTGGAGGTTGTCCCAGTATTTGTTGTGAAAAGCGGAGAAGCATACTATCACCAATAAGTTGATAACCAAAGATACTTGGTCTCTGCATTTAAAAATTAAAAAAGAAAAAGGGAAATAAAAGAATAAGTTTAATTAATCAGTGCATAAATAAGAAACATGGGAGCTTTGAAAAAAAGTAACTCACTGGAGGATTGTGGAGTGCCTGTAAACAAGTAAATCGCTTATCAACCACAGGAGCAGCAGGTAGTAGTTCAGCTGAAGACTGGGGTTGAAGCCATTGATGGGGTAGAGAATATCGGTTTGCAGGTGGTATTGAATATTCCTGAGAAGGTGGTAATGAACGCCGCTTTATGGGGTAATCTACAGTGCCCGGTGGTGTTAGTGGCAGATCACCTAAAAGGGGACGCTGAGGGTGTGGAGGAGGCGGATATCTCACTAGTGAAGCTATAGCATCACCATCAAAGTTATCTTGCCTAAAAAAAAACATAGGGATTACTTTTAAATAAAGCTCAGAGAACTAATCCAAGAACATGAAAATTTATTCAATATAGCTTACCATTGGAAAACTCCTTGCAGCATGGCAGGTGCAGGAGAAGCAGGATACTGTTGAGGACTCTGCCAGTTGGGTGCATAGGGAGACCCTGTCATTGCTGGTGGGTGATACATTTCTTGCCTCATGGGTACATATGCAGGCCGTGGTGCACAAAATGGGATGAAGTCAGGGGCAGCACTAGGCTTTGAACAACCACTACCACTTCTGCTTGACATTTCAGAGGGAGACTCAGTTTCACTTGAATGGTGACGAATTGTAAATATTTCATTTTCAAAAATTTCATCATCAGATGCTGATGACACAGCAACATCAACATAAATTTCTGACGCAGACATCCTTGCTAGGTGATTCAAATTCTTAAGCTGCTGTGGTGGGTACTTGATGTCTTCAGTCTTGACAGGTGTCGAGTTCTCTGAGGAAGAATACACAGGCAAAGGGGAATTGTGTCTCTTGTGACTACTTCTTCCTCTCTTTTCATGCCTGCTCCTTGGGGTCTCTGCACTCCATGACTGGTTCAGGCTGTCTTTAGAAGTGCCTCTCAGGCTTTGTGGGGTAGATGAGGAATCAGTCTCATGTTGACTGAGAGGAACCGATTTATTTAAGTGTTGGAAACTTCCCTCACCTCGTAGCTTGATCCGAATTTTGCCTTTGACATCATCATCTGTCTGATCATAGTCTTCATGTCTTGAGTGGCGCTTAGTGGGAGAGGGGTTTCTGTCTGGTGAATCATTTTCTTCTTTATGAGCAGAGCGTTTGGATTTCCTGGATTTTCTTGAGTGTGTCTTGACCTCCCTTGAGGGGGTTTCATTTCTTTGAGCAGATACCTTTCTCTTCTTGTGCTTTTTACTTTTGGAGCTTTTGCGCTGAGGGGCAGCATTTTCTCCTTCCAATTCTTCCATTGCATTTTTTTGGTGAGAAGCTTGGGGTGACTGTTCAGGTAACGGCACATCATCCTGGTCTTCATTGGCAATTGAATCAACATCTTCATCCTGCGTTGAGTTGTTAAGCTGAAGTTCTTCCCCTGGCAAGGGTATCATGTGAACTTCAGTTGTCACTTGAATGCGAATCTCTTCTTTGACACTACCAAAACTGACGTCCTCGCTCTCCGCCCCATACGGTTCTTGACGCTCTTGCAGGTGCAGGTCGGAGTAGGCCGGGTCGCAGGAGTCTGTTTCTTCTTCAGCATTAACCTCTGCGGCCGTCGCGGCCGGGGCGGCCCGGCGTTGGCTTTGGACGTCTCTCTCCTTTTCTTTGCTCTTGATGATGCTGTCCAAGTGGGAGCTGAAGATTCTGTTGGGTGTGAGGCGGGGCGACTTTCCACGAGTGCCCCGGGCAGGCGGACTTGCGTTTGCGGCCGAGACGGCATGCTGCTCCATTCTCAACTCGTCGGTGCACGGAGCGTCTCAATTTGGCCCCAAAACGTGCGGTTGGACAACGGAAGAGCGAAACCCACGGCAACAAATCACAGTTTACAGGTTATCACGTCGGAAAACACACAACATTCTTCACACGATGAGATGCAACAACGTGGATGTGTGAAACACGACGCCTGCCGCCTGCCGCTGCGTTCGTCACTTTCAAAACAACTCAACAGTCATTTGTTGAGGCTGAGATATGTTTTCCGGTGTAACGCCTTCTAGAACAAAACGTACCGGAAGTACTGTTTACCAGAGCTGTTTTACGATTTTTTCGGCTTTTGGCATCTATAGAGAGGGTTTTTCATTCATCCTCTTGAATTTTTAATTTTTTAGAAAAAATAATATTGGAGCATTAGTTTTCTTGAGCCGACGAATTCGGTCAAAAAACTTATCCGGTCGTTTCTGCCTGACGTTAGCAGACGGCAGACGCAGATGTAAACATGGCGTTAGCTTCCAGGACCTTAAAATGTATTAGAAACATCAATAGAAACGTTTCGTATCTAACTCAACACACGAGAGTTACCCCTAATAGACAGAACGTGTCGAGAATTATATGCAGATATTATGCTCGTACTGTCTTGGTCAAAACTGGAGGTAATACCGATAAACATGGCTGAGGCTTAACCTCAACTGGATGCCCAATTTCATGCATTTCTATGACTGAACAATAGTAACTTTCCTTCTAGATTTATTGTATAATCTCGATGTTAATCGTCTGTGTCATGTCCCGTTTCTTTCTCTCAGATGTGGCTGAGAAAAAACAACGAGATCCGGCTATGTTCTTTTTCAACGATGATGTCCAGAGTTGTCTGCTTGAAATGAACCTGCGCTATGCATCAAAGGTTTTTGAGCCACGAAAAGAAGGCCAGGAGCTAGCCCCTGCAGAACTTAAATTTCTGACAGAAGAAGAATTGGAAGAGGTAAATTTGTCAGCATCTTTTGTTTCTTGTTAAAATCCTTCCTCACCTTAACCATTCAATTTTATTGTTCTCTCAGGCACGACAAAAAGCTGCTGAAACTTCCATTTATTATCTCCAGTTGCCGCCAGTGCTCCAAGCACATCAGGAAACTGTTGAAATCCTTTCTAAAGATCCAGAATTGCAAGGACTAGAAGAATCCAAAATATTGGCCATAGATATTTCTTTTGGTGTTCCTGACAGGGTATGACTCATTTCGCATGTCTCCGTGAGTTTTGCTTTGACAGTGGATCAACTTTATCTCAAAATTACTTTCACAGGAGAGACTTATCGTGGCCCGAGATTTAGATGGAACCTTGCGCCATGCAAGCAGAGAGGAGCGAAGTCGTATGATTCAGACATACTTTCCAGATCCATCAAGAACTCTGGAACCTCCTGCACTATTCTCTCCCAAAAACCTTCTGGTGGGTTTTCTATGTTACATGTTGTAATCTTGCTTTGACCCTTCATCTGTGTGGAGAATTTCTTAATCGAGCAAAGAGTTAAACTATCTCTAGTGGATTTATTGAAAGATGTGTAATTAATTTTGCTTTTCTGTTTGTACCAGTCCCTGCTAGAGAGGTCAGAATTTGAATTTATTCTGGACAGAGCATGTGCTCAGTTTGAACCAGACGATGTTGAATATGTATCCATAACATCTCAAACCTATGATTACATAGAGGAAAATGGAAAGTTTGAATATCTTGTTGGAACAAGACACTATGGCTCATTGGCCTTCTACTTAGCTTTCTATGGGAAATTGGATAGATTCTTAAATCATTGCATTTCTTCGCGGAGGTAAGTGAAAATGGACACCAATTGTGTTGTCCTGATCTAGGCACATTTCACCTCGCATGCCAAAGATAAAAGGGGTCTATCTATGACTCATATTGCCTATGTGTTGTTAAATCTAGAAAGATGCGGCTCCACTTATCATGTTTGTCATTTGCAGAATTGAAGACGCAGTATCTGCAGTTAATGTCTTTTACCTGTGTAGACCTAGTATTGTAGATTACAAGAAACCTTCATCGCCTGATGACTCAGATTTTATCAAGGTATTTGTTAACCCAGTTATGTTTGGACTTGTTGTCATCAAATTGTTGTAACAACTGTGTCTTCCTCTTGCAGGCATATATCACCTCGCATGCCAAAGAAAAAGGAACTTTATCAATGACTCTGAATGCTTATCTGGAGTTACATCTACCCACAGCGGCAGATGAAGCCAAACTTAGCAGTTAAGTTTGTTCATGTATTTTTCACATCTTGTTATAAGTACTCATGTCCAATAAACAACTTTCAATTATGATTTTCTTTTAACTTAAAGTAACCCAAAATGATTTAAAGGATTTGTAATAACAAAGCAACATAATATAAAACAAATGTATTCACAATAAATCTGTACAAATAAATATACTTCAACACTTAAAAACTAAAACATATCATAAACAAGGCAATAGTACACGGAGGACAAGCAACAGTAGCTTCATGGTGAGTCAGGGACGGCAGCAAAGGTCCAGCTGTAACTGAACAAGTTCGGATAAAAAGTCCTAAGACACTTGCCCAAGTAAAGGCAAGGTGGTAAAAAAGTAGTATGGACAGGAAAATCCCTCGGTTAGGTGTACTCACTCTCCCACGGAGAAAAAAAGTTTCAATGATTCTCCTCTATAAATGCATCAGACTCTTCAAAGGACAGGGCTCCTGCTGGGTAGAATCTAGTACACTTACCCAATCTACTGATTACCACCTTAATAAAGCTTGCGCCTTTCCTACTGATCCTAACTCATTCATTATGGTGTTTAAACTCCGAGAAGCTGCCCCTGAGGAGGTTGTCAAAATGTGCTGAAAAAACAACATAACTTGTTCATTAAAAACATTCACCAAGTTATAAGTGGTTGAACTTGTTGTTGCTAATGAAAAATCACACAGGTTGATATCATTGAGTGAAAAATACTTTATCAAAGACAATGAACCTGAGTAATTCAGAATGAGAAAATGAAGTTAAATGAACAACCTGTGTGATTTGATTATTTCCCAGAGAAATCATGTATGAAATAGTGAAGTTATTATTTTTTTTCTTAAGAAACATTTGAGTCTCTGGGAAATTTGACTAGGAAGTGTGAAAACTGGCCCGATACAAGTATACTCAACCGTTTTTCATTCCAGGCTCCTCATTTCCAGCCCATCGGGCAATGCTGCAACACAAAGTGCAATTAAAATGGAGTCTTCCAACCCAGGGATAGTTGCCAATTATATTAATACAGCCAACTAAATTAGATAAGATTTTTTATTTTTTTTATTTTTTTATTATTGATTGAAAACTAAATGAATATAAGCCTTGCACAATAAACCATTGCAAAGCTTTTGAAGGAAATAAGTATGCTATTTGTAAGTGGCAACTATCCCCATTTATAAATTCATAATGATAGCCTATGTGAGTACATGTGATACTGAAATTACTTCCACAAACTATGTACAAACAAGTTAAAATAAATGAATTAATTAATTAGAATAAAGACCATTTAATTGATTCCTGATGGTCAACACAGAAACTTAGGTCCCTATGTACAACTCAACTGTCCTCATGCACTTAATCTAGGGGGAAAGGAACCAACCGCACCTTAGCAAAAAGCCTCTGCAATCGGAAGGTAGAACTGCAAGCCTTCCGAAGAGCACAGTAAAGGCGCCTGAAAAAAGACATCAAACACTAAAATCATGATCGCACTCTGGCAGAAATTGCATTCTAGCTTTGAATCTTTTCAAATATTAACAAGGCACTAGAAAATGTACAGGTGATAACTAACAAAGGAAGCAAATGGATGACAAAGCTAGAACACAATTTCTGATTCTTTAAACCATACATGACAATATAACAGTGGATAAGGATAGCCCTCCGAAGATAAACAAAAGTTGTTAAATTAAAAATAGAGTCTTATGGTCCATTACACAGCAATGCCACTCCAGCTTGATAAGGCATTTTCATTGCAGGATGAACAAAATTCAAGAGAGACTTTGTTTTTGGCCACATGAAGGCAGACCCCAACATTTGCCAAGGGTTCATCTCCGTCAAGCCAATCGCCAAAGGCATTAGGTCCGAACCCAAGGTAGTCTGGGTCGTCGAGAGAAGCCTCATTTAGGTTGAAGTCCAAGTCCAGAGGAACATTCTTGGAGCCGAACAGGAGGTCAAGGTCATCATCATCTTCATCCTCAGGAGCAGACGAGCTCAAGGAAACGTCATCAGCAGCAATTGGTAAACCCTTCCTCATGGTTCTTGCAGCTGTTGCGTCACCAAGAACAAGGCTGGACGAGGGAACACAGGAATCAGTGTCACATGGTGCCAGGGCTGGGGCAGCTGGAACTACACTTTCCACTATCACTTTGGACTGGGTTGCGGTTTTCTCCGCGGCAGCAGGTCTCTTCAAATCCACAACAGGCTTCGGGATGGTGGCGCTAGGCAAGCCACAGTTGACGTTGATGGAACGAAGGAGCTGTGAGAGTTGTTTGCTGTTGGCAAGGACGTTGCGAAGGTAAACGTTTTCCTTACGAACAAGCTCCACGTCCTTTGTGTACCCGCTCAGAGACACTTTCAGCTTGCTGTTCTCCCGGCGTAGCGACTGCAGCTCGTTCTCCAGGTCCCCGATGTACTTTTTCTTCTTGAGGCGGTTTTCTCTGGCGAGGACGGCGTTGCGCGAGAAGCATTTGGGCTTCCTCCCACGCGTGCCGCCCGAGGCCGAGGAGTTGGAAGGCCGGGTTTCATCATCCGACGACGTGAAGTCCTTTGGGTCCGGGCTCACACCACTGTCGCCCGAACGTCGCTTCTTGGCCGGAATTTGGTTTTGGAAAACGCTGCAGTTGTCTTCGGCATCGGAATGCACATTAACTTCGCTTCCCCAGGAGCTGAGGGACGCAGTTTCGCTTGCGTTGCGACAACGTTTGCCGAGCCTGCTGGTTGCACCACTGGAGAACCTTGCCATTTTGTCAGAGTACTTAAAAACAGCAAGAAACTTACACAAAAATATCGGGTGATCAGTCTGAAACACAATGCAACTGTCCTGGCACTCGCAAAACGAGATAAAACCAGAAAATTCACTTCTCAAACAACGACTCGCACGGAGCTTGACGCACACACAGCGGCAAGACGCAAAATGGCGCCGTGGCGGTGCGGTTGCGGTTGCGCGTTGCGCGTTTGCCAAGCTAGACCCCTAGTGCACCGTCCCGCCACCAGAGCGCGCTCAACCCGCCGTCGAAACAAGCCGAAACGCCGAAAGAGGCGACCACGCGGAATCAAAACCGCCCTATTTCATTTCATTTATAGCCTAACTTGCGGTTACCCGTACATCAGAATTTCGACCCGCCGACAGAGACCAAAAAATAGTCTAAGTGGCGGTTTCTATGGTTTCTAGCCTAATCTGGCAACCCTGGGCGTCGTCCCACGCCCCCTGTCCTCCCCTCCCCGCCCCCGCCCCGTGCCGAGCCGAGCCGCAGTGTAAACGAAGAAAATGGTGACTGCAAGTGTTCCGAAATAGCGGCATTAATTCGACACTTGTTACCGCAGTTGTGCTGCCCCCGTGGCCCCCAGTGTTTGCAGCATGTGCGGCTGAGCGTGTGTGTTGGTTTTGTGACGCCGAAGCCTCCGGATGAGATGGGTGCCACGAAATGACGCGATTTCGATCGGCTGCCCTGGCGACTGGCGAGCACGGGGCGATCATGTCCTCTCATCTTGACTTGGCACTGAGCTGAGTGGATATTCGTGGCCGGAGGAGATACTTTTATTGCAAGAGGATATGAAGGAAATGGTAGGCGGGTGCTGTGTTTGCTCGGACGAGAGGGGATGGGCAGAAAACCCCCTGGTGTACTGTGATGGCCAGGGATGTACAGTCGCCGTTCACCAAGGTGAGTTGTCCTGTCCACACAATCATTGCGGGCCGGGGTCTCAAGGTTCGTTTCAAGGGGCGCCCTGCTCTATCGGTAACCGTTGGGTGCTGTGCCCCTTTATCGGCCCGTATCCGTCCATCGCTTCCGCGATCGGAGAGGGGACTCGGCAGGAAGTTCATTTGCCTTTTTGTCTTCTGCTTAAGAGGTTAGGCCTCCCGCGCCAATGTTTACAAACAAAGCGAGCATAAATATTTTCAATATTTGCTCTCTTGAACGGAACCTAAGTTTAATTTCTTAACCGCTGGTAAATGGGAGTGTTTCTCCTTTCTTGTCTCTTGTTACTCATAAATTTAGTTTTCTGTCATAAACTTGAAGCTCTCATGCGAGGGCCTCCTATTCACATCCATCCATTTTATTTGTTTCAAGTCCCATGTTCCTATCATATTGTAGTTAAGGGTTGTTTAAAGATCTCTTTATTCTGCTTTTTATATTCCATACTCACATTTCTGATTTCTTTTAATGTTTTATAGCATGTTATGGAATTGTTACGGTTCCCACCGGTCCTTGGTTTTGTCGGAAGTGTGAGTCTCAAGAGAGAGCTGTTCGAGTGGTGAGTATTTATTTAACGCACACCCTTTTGGTTTCCCTTAAGAAGCTTCATATTTCATTTTTATTTTCAGCGTTGTGAGCTTTGCCCCATTAAAGATGGAGCCCTGAAGCGTACAGATAATCAGGCGTGGGCACATGTTGTGTGCGCATTATATATCCCTGAAGTTAGATTTGGAAATGTTACGACAATGGAACCCATCATTTTACAGTTGGTTCCTGCTGAGCGTTATAATAAGGTGCGTTAAATGTTCATTTTATTTTATTTATAAATCTACTGTTTGAAATCTCGTCTAATCTGAATGCTTTCTTCCTCAGACTTGTTATATTTGTGAAAGTCAAGGAAAAGGATCTAGAGCCCTTCAGGGTGCATGTATGAATTGCAATAAGCCTGGCTGCAAAATGCAATTCCATGTTACCTGTGCTCAAGGTTTGGGTCTGTTATGTGAAGAAGCGGGTAATTATATGGACAATGTAAAATATTGTGGTTATTGCCAGCACCATTACTCAAAGCTGGTGAGTAAGGTAAATCATGTCCTCAACTTTTTCATTTTAATTTCGGCATTAAGAAACCGCAACAAAAGATTGTAATCCAACCCAATTTTATTTCAGAAAAAGGGAGGTAATGTGAAACAGGTTCCACCTTACAAACCTGTCCCTAATGAACCTACAGAAGAAAAAGAAGAAAGTGGGCGAAAGCGTAAAAGTCAAGGTAAAGGTGGAGGTAGAGGAAGGAATGCTACTCCCAGTCCAAATCTTAACAAGCAGGGAGGACAGAGTCCTAGTGCTGGAAGTGAGAGTGGTGACCATAGTCGAGCAAGTACTCCTGCTGGTAAGACAAGTCTCCATCTCCTTCTTGGGACTATCTTGAGCCAAACTCTCAACATAAATAATTTGTACACTGTCTCAGGTTCTAATGGAACAGCAACAAAGGACCTGCTACCACCTCCATCGGCTGCAAGCTCTGTCATCAAAGACAGTAAGGACAAGGATAAAAAAGAAGATAAAATCAAAGATGCTGAAAAAGATAAAGATAAAGAAAAAGAGAAGAAAGATGGAAAAGATGTTCCAAACAGCAGCACCAGTAGTACTGCTTCTACTACAGCAGCAAAGTTCACCACTTCAAACTTTGTGGAGACGGTGAGTTGTATTCTTCAGTTAAATGCATTTTTATCAGAGTAATAGGGGTCTTTTGATAATAATGATGCAGTGAGCAACAAAAGGGATGCCTGTATTTTTTTCTGCAAGACCATAAGTTTTCAAAATAATTTTTCTCTAAATATTTCCTGCATATGTATTGACGTTTTTATAAATTAATCTGTATTTACCATTGAATGAGTTCGAGGATGGAAGATTACGTCTTCTGGAACTGGGTCACTTGGTCCCTCATCTCTATTTTGTCAATTAGTAGTTGTCACTGGAGTCGTCCCTCATCATATCATTCATTCCAAAAATCATTGGCATTATCCAACCCATCTTTAGTTCTCAAATATTTGGTCATTGTCTTATCATCCTTCCTCTGAATGGGTTGTTAGTTTTCTCTTTGCAAGGAACCCCTCTCTGTTGCTTGTTCCTGTCTATCCAATTTTGGTTCCAACGGCAAAATTGGAAAATGGCAGTCCATACAACGGCTTTTGCAGGTTGTGACACCAAGCGAGAGTGTATTTGGTGCTGATGGGTCGAAAACTGCTAGTGGTAGTAGTGGTCCTGCAAACCCGAAAAAACGACGTAATGCAGGAGGAGTTCGTACTCCACCCTCAAGTACACCTTCACAAGACAAAGACACCAAAGAGAAAGAAAGAGACACTTTAGGAAGTAGTTCTGCCTCGGCAGCTCCTTCCCCTACCTCAGCTCCTTCCAGTATCAATGAATCTGTGGCAAAAATGGAAGTAGATGAAAATCCTCACTCAGGTAGCCCTGATACCGTTGAGAAAGGTGTCAAGAAATTGAAAATAGTTGCTGAGCCAAACCTCAGCACACTTGGTTCCAACCCATCGAACTCTGAAACCAGTAGTAAGGTATGTTGATTCATTGACTGGCTGATTGATCAATCACACAAGTCTTTGGCTTTGAGGGCTGGCTTATTCTTTTCCTTTCGAAATTTCGAACTTAATTTTGTAAGAATAAAAAAATTTACCTTCATTTTACACATTTCCACTTTGACTGGTAATATTCTAGAACTCCTTCACTAAGGTTCTAGTTTGGTGTCACCTCAGTCTTTCTCAATCTGTACTATTCTGAAATCTATATTTAGCCACTGGACACTGTTTGCTGTGCTGCTTGTGCTTGTTCCCCTTTTCATGACTTTTTTTTATACGAATCTGATCTTTGTTCAGAGGAGCAATGTACATAAATTTTCAATTGTGAATATATGGTATGGAACATTTTTGCTAGGAGCTGGAACATCATCCTTCGGTCCTTTGCTTGCTTTTCCTTTGTCTTCTTTGTCTTCATTGTCTTTATTTCGTTTCCACATTAGCTACCTTCTGTTTGGCTTTTTTTGTTGTTGTAATTGCAATTGCAATTTCTTTGAAACATCATTGTTTTGGTCGTCTGCAGTACAAATCATGTTTCTTTTTTTTTTTTTTTTTTTTTGTCTTTGTTTTAATTTTTTACTTTTGCTTACTTTGTATTAATACAATCGCTTGCTGGATACATGCAACTTTCATGGTTTAAATTAACACAGTTGTTAGGTCAAGGTTCTGACAATCTTCTTCTACTTCACATATTTGCCTTTAAAAAATGTGCTATCGCTGTGTGTTACTAGATAGTTTTCTCATCTTTTTAAAAATTGCTTTTTAAGAATTATTGTATTATTTGTACATGTATTGATGTGATTTGTGTGACTTAAGATAAGTTGATGCATTTATGAATCAATATTAACTTTTTTTTCCTCTCTTCTGTCTTCTAGGACCATAAGTCCTTTTTCCCTATGTTTCAGGGACCTCAAAGCAATATATCATCCCCTGGACCAGTTGGGTCCTCAGTCTCATCATCAGCTAACAGCATTGTTGTATCAGTACCATTGGCAGCTGCAGTATCTTTGCCTAATGCAACGAGCCAGCAAGTCTCTAGTGCTATAAACTCTTTGGCTAGCGGCACTACTATAACTGCGACTCCAACTCCTACCTCTGCAACATCAACAGCTCCAGCTGACACCCATCCACCAATAATAACAAGCAGTAGCAGCAGCAATGCCAGCAAATCAACTCCAGCAGCACAGAATTTGGGAAAAAGATCAAGGTAATTTTTTTCGTTATATTATAAATTATTTGTAGAAGCTTTCTGTTTTGAATCAGTTTAATTTTCCACCAATGCACCTACATCATACATCATACTGTAACGCCATTCACTGCAACTCAAGATAAGACAGTTCATTTTTGGTTGTTTGTTTCTTTGGTGTGTTGTTAAGTTTGATACACAAGGTGTAGGGTTGGTCTGTAAACAAAAAGAAAATCAACACTACTGTAATATGCAGTTGACCGCAATGTAGAGACAGACATATTTACCAACTTCATGATTAATCAATCCATTTTTAACTTTTCAGCATTGCTCCATATTATTCAGGCCTACAAATGTGTTTTTCAGGTGTATGGATGAATTTTGTGAAGAACGGCAGCCTCATAATCATTACATTCCTGCACAGGTCTTTTACCGCTGAGAAGTCGGAGAAGGTGGAGAAACAGGACAAGCGCAAGCTTAAACGTGGTGGACATCATCAAGTAGGGACCTCCTCCAGTGCACCTTCCAACCCTCCCCCAGCATCTAGCCCTGCCACCCCCACTACCCCTAATACCCCGTCTTTGCCAGTCTCTAGCCAGTCTCCCAACCCCATGCCCATCTCTCTAGTTACAGCTCCCATTTCATCAACTACCTCAGTCTCCTCCAATGTGTCAGTCCCAACGTCGCCCATTTCCATGTCTCCATCGGTCACTCCAGCACCCATCTTATCCCCGGTGTCCTCCACATCCCTGCCCCATTCCCCTTCTCTAGGCAGACGAGGGCGTCAAGGTAGTCAGAGCACTTCAGTCTCAACAACTCCTCCGAACCCCATTTCAACGCCCCCTGTATCTACACCTACGCCTCCCACAGTTACCTCCTCTCCACCTGAAACAAAGCCTGTACCATTCGCTGTTGCTCCTGACGACCTCTCTAGGTGGGCAGCAAGCATTTTGATATATGGTGTCTGCTTTCAGAAGATTCAATTGTCTTTATTAACATTTCAAATACCAGTACTGACATGTACACTCCAAATTTTCATAATTTTACATATATTACTTTGTCTCTTCACTGAAAGTGTCCACCATGTGTGTTAGTTGTAGTTGTGTGCTTCACTACTTTGGTAGAACCATTCATTTTCCTAAATTATTAATATGATGCATGTCCACTTAGCTGTGTGCTCTTCATATGCTTTCTCTTCCATAATTTGCTTCTTCCAAGTTGCAGAAATCGTGTAAGAAACCATCTTCAGAAGGTGTAAAGAAAGCTGATTGGTTTCAACATTGTCCTGGAATGGGAAAAAAACTGCATTAATGTTCCACATACTTTTATTTTTTTTGAAGAATCAAACAACTGATAAGACAACAATTCTGCAGTTTCAATAAATTGCATTATTTAGCAGCCTCTTGCTATTTTATTTTTTCTACATTTAATTGTATAACACTAGTTTCTACTTGCTGTCAGGGTGTATCTATTTACATAGAATCTATTTTCAGAGGAGTCTGCTTCAGAAATGCACAATTGTTGTTTGATCATTATGTGATGAAATGTGAAGTGCATGGAATTTTATCTGTATTGTAATGAATTTCAATAACATTTTGTTGTGTTTGTTGACAGTTGCGCATGATGTTGATGATATTTTTTGAGATTTTTATTATCTAGGTTGTATTAATTGACTTGAGTAGTTTCATCTTAATGTGCAGAAATGCATGTATTGGAGCAAAATTGATTGGATTTTCAAATTTCATTGGAAGGCAAACAATTAAAACCATGTTTGATGAGATATGAATTCAAAAATACTGGGTAAAAATGTTTTTTGTTTTCATCGAAATTTGAAATGATTATTCTTGTTCTACAATTATCTCTCCTGTAAGAGCATTGTTACCTCTGCTCCTGCTATTTGTTAAAAGTTTATGTGAACAGTTCATTGAATTTTTGTTTACACAGAGTACTTTATATTTTGGTGCTGAATGTAGTCATGCTGTGATTTTACTGTGCAGTGACGTTGACTTGCTTTTAATATTTTAAAGCCTGTAGATGCTCTTTTGTTGAAAAAAAAATTGCCACACCTTGCATACTACTGGTTAAGTTAGCTACATGACAAGTTTGTTGTTTCAGCTCTGCCGTTTCCATGAAAGAATCTCCTCCAAGCAGCCCTGAACCGGTGCCGCATCGAGGACGGCCTAAAGGTCGTCGAGGACATCACAGTGTGCCAAACCAAAAAGATGACAAGGATCAAAAAATGTGAGCTGTACAGGGCAGATATAAGGCCAATGATGTCTTGAGCTCATGTTTCTGTGGTCTAATTTTATCTTCACTTTTTCTAGATTTCAGAATGGTGTCACATCAATACACAATGCACCTCACATGCTTGGTCACCAGTTAAACCCATCTTCATCAATGGCTCAAAAAATGTCTGATACTCTTACTGCAGAACTTGAGGCTCATTCAGTGTTTAGTGCTGAGCCCAACCTCTCAAACCAGAATAATTTGATGGGGCCTCAACTACCAACAAAGGTCTTGGCTAATGTTAGTACTGTAACTTACATACCGGTAACTTGCTAAAATATTTTGGTAGGTGAAAGTGATTGTCTAGAACCTGTTAAAATACTAACTTTGCATTTTACAGTCACGAGCCTCCGATTCTAGAAATACTCCCACCTCTGGAGCATTACCACAAACATTGGATCAGCTCTTAGAGAGACAGTGGGAACAAGGAAGCCAATTCTTGATGGAACAAGCCCAGCATTTTGACAGTAAGTGTGCCTGCAACTCTTTAAACACTTTAAAAGAAAAAAGATTTATTTTTCTTCCTTTTTTTGCAATATTACAATAATATTAAATTTTCTTTGCTAGTTGCATCCTTATTGACTTGCTTGCACCAACTACGGTCTGAGAATACCCGCCTAGAAGAACATATTAGAAAACTGCAAGCTCGTCGTGATCACCTGTTGGCAGTCAATGCTCGCCTTGCAATTCCATTGACTCACTCTCAGCCTCCAACCCCACCTCACGGAACACCAGGCTCAACACCAGGTAATTAAACAGGTATTTTCAACTGAACAAATTTTTAAGACAGATTCAATTTATCGTATTCTTGTGAATAGGCCTTTCAGATGGTGTAGGTGTGGCACCGGGCCAAAGTCCTGGTCCTCTCACACCCCAGGGAACTCCTTCTGGGCCTCCAGGACAGGGACCATCTTCTGGTCCACCACATGTAGCCCAAGGTTCACCCCAGCTTCCGTCACAGGGAGCATCCTCTGTTCAAGGCAGTCACCACCCACACTCTCAGAGTCACCAGAACCACTCTCAAACTCACGCTCAGCTTTTGGGACACTCTCAGTCACTTTCACTTCCTTCAGGACATTTACATCAGTCCAGTCATCCGCAGGGGCACCCTCAAGGACACCCACAGGGCCACCCCCAGGCACACTCTCAGGGTCATCCTCAGGGCCATTCTCAGGGACACCCTCAGAGCCATCCTCAGGCGCATCCCTCAGGTCACCCTCAAGGACACCCGCAAAGTCACTCACAGAGTCACTCTCAGGGACACCCTCAGGGACACCCACAGAGTCATCCTCAAAGTCACCCACAGGGTCACTCGCAAGGTCATCCCCAAGCACACTCCCAGGGACACCCTCAGAGTCACTCTCAGGGGCACCCGCAGAGTCACTCGCAGAGCCACTCACAGAGTCACCCACAGAGCCATGGACAGGGGCACCTGCAAGGCCTTTCTCAAGGACATCCTCAAGGTCATCCCCAAGGTCACCCTCAAGCTCTGCAACAGTCGAGGCAATCTTCTCAGTCTCGTTCATCTTATGGATCACAGCCGATGGAAAATGGACTGCCTTCAGACTCCATGCACCAGGGTTATGGGGCCCACCAAAGACCACAACCGAGCCCTAACATTCGGTAAGAGTAGTATGCCAAGTAATGCTGAAGTTTGTTTTAATTTTTTTAATTTACGCCAGGAATGCAATTTTGTCCTTCTGTAGACACACTCAGTCTGGAAGTCCTTACATGATGAGCCAGACGCCACCCACCTCTAATCCAAGTGTTGTTCGAAGCAGTCCTGTGTCTTCAGAACAAGGCCGCAGGTTAGCAAAATACAAATTATGATCTTATTAGCCAGGTGTTTATGGCTTTTTAACAGTGGTTGGTTGTGATTAACAGAGTGATTTATAAAGCACTTTGAGCAAGATGTGTTTCACACTCCAAGTTTCTGTAGTATTGTAGTTCTCCAGGAATGATATGAAGCCATGTAGACAAGCTATTAGAATAGATATTTTATGAAAATAAAATTAGTAGTTTCCAGTTTAAAGAAGACTCTTCCAGCTCTGGAAGCTTGTAATATAGTTTACCATACTTAACTCTTTTATGGCCTGCATTTTTTAAATAATGGGATTTTGAAATGCTCTAGCTTCTCTTTTATTGTACTTTGTTATGGCTTGCTGGTAAATTTTCATAGTTTAGGGATAGTTTACTGCTGGCCTTAAAACTATCATATTTGAATTATTCGACATTTTTATGCTTGTAAATTTTCATCTTCCAATGAAACCCTAAGGTTGGTTTGGTCCCAACATTTTTAACAGCTTCACTCCTGAGAACTTCAGGTGTGGTCGCATGTTACCTTTTAGTTTTACGATTTTCAATAAAAGAAATGTAGTACATCTTGCTCAGGGTACACAAGTGACGGGCTAGTTGCAGAGGCATGCTTGATCATTTCCAAATTAAATAAAGGCAAATTTTGCTGAATAGGATGTAGCACCTCTGTATCTTGCCCCATTCAGCTTGTCATTTTGAAGTAGTTCACAATATGGCTTGGTGACTCCAGTATCTTCGTTAACTTTCACCAACGGAGTCATCTTTTTTTTACTACGTAAAGCCACATCAGCATGTTTGTGGAGTGAAATGTAGACTGGGGTGTTGGGATGCATGGCTTGTTGCAGAGGTGTGGGTGTGTCGGTGCCCACTCAAGGATATACCATGTACTCTCAGGGCAGTGCCATCACGATGCCTGTCCCTGTCACGCCCCAGCAGGTGGGTATATCTACATGTGTGCTGATACATCCCACAAATGCTTCTAATCTATAAAAACTGATAGTACTCAACAGCAATCTTATTATTTAATCTTCTTGCGGTGGAGTTTTGTAAAATAATTTAAATGAAGTGACTATTGGAACCCAAGTAACGGCTAAGTCATCAGCATTTTATTGTTTTATAATTGTAGAAAAACCTTAGTAGTAAATAATGCCTCAACCAGAATTTCTCCAAATGTAAAAGCTTGTGAATTTTGTTCTTTGTTGTTGCAAATACCAAAATGGTCGTCGCTTTTCTGCTGTACTGGTCAAGCAGCACTAAGACTCAGCTAATGTTACAGGTGGTGATGCACCGAGAGGTGGACCTGCACCACTTCCCGTCGTCCAAGCATAGCTGAGGGTTGGCCAGGCGGGGTCCTCCCCCGCAGAGCAGAGGGCTGCAGCTGCATCCAGGTACAGGAACGGGAACCGGAGGACGGTGGCCATCCCGATATCACCAAGGACACCAAGGTCACCAAGGGCCTGGAGAACTTCCCTATCCTCATGTGGCGCACCCTGCTCACTCTATGCACCACTATGAGTGGTACCAGCGTGTTCCTGGCCATGGCCATGCATCTCTCTCGCGTCTCTATCGTTCATATTTTCCCCACCACTGAAAAATAGCTCAATACATCCTGCCATAATCATGCTTGTGTTAGGTTTGAAAGGAGAGGGAGTCTGTTGGTGTTGGAATGTGCTACTCTGCTGGAGCTTTCTTCCTGTGTGAACAATACACTCAGCTATAATTGCTTGTACTGTACTTGACACAAATCCTGTACCACACAGATTCACTTGCTCATTTCATCACAAATGTTACCTCTTTTGAAGACTTGGTGTGATTATATAGTTATGGGAACGGGGTGTTAAATTTGTTTCCTTATTTTTATTTGTTCTTTTTAACTGTTTGTTTTTGTGTAGTTAATTATTATTATTATTATTATTAATTTGCCTTGTGCAATTTTCAACAAAGTGATGACATAAGTAGTACAAACCTGAGTTTGTTTTGTACTTGAGTGTTATGACATGCTCTTTTGTCTTGCGCACAAAACTTACTTGATTTGTGAATTTGTAAATCGGGTTTTCCTAGCTTGTGACAGATGATGAGATGATATACATTTAAAATTAGTTGACTAAAATTAAACTGGATTTATTTGTTGTGTACATGAGAGATTGTTAATGTTAAGAAAATATATGGCTTTCTTTTGGAATGTACCTTAATAAAAATTTAATGGTTAAAATAATACGTACCTCCTAATTTAATTGCAATTGATTATGGTGAGTTTAGTAAGGTAGCTGTATTGGTAGCATCTTATATCCTGTAAGTCAAATCAGTATTATTAAGGGACTATTGCATCTTTTGGCTACTGTTTTTGATAAATTAAGATGCAGCAGGAGTATAGTTCATGGTGGGAAGAATCATTCAGGTGACTGCTGTATATTTTTATATCCATTGCTAAGACTGTTCTTATGACTTAGTGGCTAATGGTTGGTTGCATTGACATTGATGCCAAATCTGAGATTTTCGTTGTTGTTTAGTGGGTTTACCATGTTCATACTTGACTCTGATTGTGTAATATAGATTCTTTCGGTAACGTGCTGTCAAAGGAAACTCGTACCTCTTTTAGTTTTCCTCTCAGCTAGGTTTTAGACTTATCTCAGTTCCCGTGTAATTATATATTTTCCCTTCTTGCTTTGTTAAGGTTTTCTTATCTTTTAAGCTTGGCCACTAAATCTTTTGCATATTGTCTGCATCTCATGCATTTTATCTTGGTATGATGCATTTAAGAGAATTTTATGCTTTCAAAACCTTCAAATCAATGAAAGATTCTGCTAGCAGTACAGAAATTTAATGGCGCCTAATTAGTGGATTATCATAACGTTTTCTACAAGTTGTTGCTAACATAACTGTTAAGTATATGATGCATGGTAAAATCACTAGTTGTAGGCCTAACTAAATTTTATCTACTATCCATTTCTTGTGTTTAAATCATTGAGGTATGGGGAATAGCTGTCACTGCTAGATACCCCATCCTTTCCTTTAAAACATAAAATGTGATATGTTTGCAATATTTTAAGGCTAGGTGACAAAAGTCAAAATAAGTAGGCTGTCAATTTACAAGGACTTACAGAAAGAGAAAACTACAGAATCTCTTGTACAAAATTATGAATGTACGTAGTATGCCTGTAACTGCCTTAGATTTGTATATTAAAAGTACCGGTGCTGAAATCTTTGTGTATCCATCTTTTCTCCTAGTAATTTGTTTCGCCCTTTACTACTCATTCATTTAGTAAAAGTAAAATTTTGGGTTTGTACAGCCATGTCTCCAAACTGTGTGGGGATGGACGCCTCCATCTGTGGAAAAGAGCAAAGAAGTAGTCTAGGATAGGAGTCTTTTCTGGCCGACACTCCAACTGCCTCGGCATAGACAAAATTTCTATGGCCAACAATGCTCTAAGTTTAATCCTCTCATCCTGCTATGAGGCCAAGTATGGGGCAATCGAAATCTCCCAGTCAAGCCTATCAAGGCGGTTTCTGAAGGGATCTGAAAGCGAAAGCGAGGTGGCAGCAGCATCTGGCGCTCTCCGCCCCTCCCCGCGCCCCCCGTCGCGCCTTGGGGGATGGGGGAGCCCCCGCCGATGCTGCTGCCACCTCGCTTGACCTGACCGATTGACCGACTGCCTGGTGATCGAAAATTTGGCCACGTGACATGTTTCGACCAATCGGAGGACTCCGTTTCCTCTGGCCCCTCATTGGTCCTAGCAGCCGACGGCGGAGAGTACGCCAGCGTTATTCGACTGCAGCGACCGGCACGAGGCTAGCATATTTGGAGTATGAAACATTAAGGAGGAGGAAAGGGAAGACCTAAGCCCGCGCAGATCAAACCAGAGTAATGCAGATGTATGAATTGATATGTGAGCAGTGTTGGAGATTTTCTGCTGCGTTCAAATATTGGAACGCAAGGGATGGGAGTATGGCAATACGTTTCCCGCTGGCCCGGGAAGCCGGCTGCGGTCTCAGGGGTAAGGTAGGCCACCGTATCCGAGCCGGTGTGTGGCGGGACTGCCTATGGTCTTCCTGGCAGGCGCTTCGCGCTTCCGATCTCCAGAGCCCTTTAGTGGACCTCTACCGTTCTCTTGCCTTCCTGTTCGTTCAAGGGGCGGAACTGGCATTGAAAGTCACATTAAGAATTGCTGTGCTATGTGGCTAGAGCCGAGTTGAATAAAATCGATTCCAAACATAAGTCTCTTTTTATTTCTAAAAGTGTTATCCACATATCCTTGTCTTTGTAATTGAAACAAAAACACTATGGCACAGTCATTAGGTTTTGTAATTTCAAGATCAATTAGAAATTTTTTAAAGTACAAAGAAGAAATAGTTCCATGTTAGTTGGGAAAGAGATAAGGTGTTCAAGGAGAGGTGGGAGTGATGGGTCGCTTTTTGGCAGCCTCTTTCGAGGAACGAAGTGGCGGCGCGGCGAAAACTTTGAAAGAGGGCGGAACGATGACGGTGAACGCAGCGAACGCGTGGATGATGCCAGAAGCCACCGGGTTGCTCGCCTGCAGGGCCTGCCACTCGTCCGAGTTCTCCAGGGACCGCCAGCCGGCGGCCACGAGTTGGTACAGTCGGTTCTTCATGGCCTCGGTCACGACGGGCCACTTGTCCGCCTCCATGAGGATGCTGAGGGCATCGAGGCTGTCCATGCCCCACATGTACATCTCGCAACGCGCTTTCAGTTGCTCCACCTGTGGGCAGATAACAGAAATGCAAACATACATCAAAACCTTGGTTTCTTCCAAATTCCATTTGTTCCACTATCGCGCCATCATCATTAAAAATTAAAAAGAAAAGATTATTTTAGAGTGATAAGAAATGAAAATTAATTTAACTTTACTCCCGAGAAAAAAATCTTTTGAAGAGCAATATATTGTGGTTGATCAGAGGGTAAGGTACAGTTATGATAATTACATGTTGTTTAACATTCATAGAACTTAATCATTAATTATATCTAATACAGGCTAGGAGCAAAGGACAAGTAGCACCTGAATCTTTTGAATATGAAAGCTAAGTTGACCTAATGTTGGTTGAGACAGACAGACAATCAGCATACAAAATTTGTCACACCAACCTGGTAACGCTCAGAGAGATCTAGAAGCTCCAGCACACAATCCGACTCGATGCTAATACTTTCAGTGTAGAGGAAATTAAGAAATTTGTCAAAAGCCTTACTGGACACACCTTCAATGGTAACACTTTTTGCAGTTTTTTCTTTAAACTTCCCACAAAACATAGCCTGAAACAAAGAGAGAGAAAATGAGTAGTGGAGAGAGGTTTTCAATTAAGGGAGAATCATAGCTATAAAACATACATGAAACTACAGTCCTTTTATAGTGGGAGTATTTCAAAATGGTGAAATATAGCAGTTGTTGCATAAAAATTGAGTCCTTGCAGGGAACATTGAAACTTAATGTTTTCTTTAATAAGATGATAATTTTACCCCTTAAAAAAGTGACAGGGGTTTTTATTTCCAGGCCAGCTCAGTTAAATACAAATTTTGGCCTGAAATTAGATTTGTTTTAACCTGCCCCTTGAAGCCTGTTCTTTCTTCAAACTACTATGATACTCACTGTGAAAACACTGCTGGTTGCACTGAGAACAGCCTTGTGAGCAGAGAGGATTTGGCCATCAACTTTAAGGGAAACATCACAAAGGGAGGATCCAAGGCTCCGAGCTGAATTCAAACATTGTCTGAGAGAGTCCACTTCACCTGCTTTTTGTAAATAAACCTATAACCAATAGCACTTAATTAAAAACCATTCTTCTTGGTCATGTGAAAGATAATTTCTATGGCATCAATTCTTGATGAAATCCTCAAATTATTTTACTTAATTGTTGATTAGAACAGATGGCTCAAGTACATCAAACGTATGGTATTCCCAAGTCGATGCTATTTACAAGGTCTTAGTTTGTTGAATGGACCAACCTGCAGTCTCAAAATGAAGCACCGTGTTGTGCCAAGAGGCATGCTCATCACCTCTTCTGAATTTCTTGACCAAGAATCTTGTCTGCGGCTTTTCCCATAAAGAAAACATTCTGACCTCGTCACCTCAGGCAACGGCCATGTCAGTGGATTCTGATAAAAGGATTCTTTTGCATTACTCTTCTCTCGCTTGGTCAAAAGGACAGTAGATACTACCACCACTTCTCTAGATTCGCTTTCCTCCAAAGTTTCCTCAACAAAAATTGATATTTTGCTGTCCTTGCGATCACTTACGTAAAAATGGACAAGGAACAATGGATTGCTTGAAAGCGTTTCATCCTCAACATTATGCACTGGGAAAGGGCCGAAAAAGTCTCCATAAGTTTCTCGCGGGCTAACCCTCTTAAGGACGTCCCAAGAAACTGAACACTCGGCTGCAACCAAAGGCTGCCATAAATCCCGATTCTCAATATTATTGACCGTTGAAGAAGGATCAACCTCAGTCGGTGCCATAGCTTCGGTCAAAATCACTCAACTGCCTGCAAAGAAGCAAACCAGACATATATTAACATACCAATGTCAGATAAATGTAGTTTTTTAATCAGTGAAAGGTTTGCTTGGATGAAAGACAGTTCGCGAGGTTAAGTAGTCCTATGCAGTGACTGAAAGTGTTTCTTAAAAATAAATTGAGCACTTGAATAACACCGGAGACTTCGTCATACCAACGGAATAATGATACCGATCAAATGCACTGGAGGCTCACCTAAAAACAAAGTGAGGATATTGGAATAAATGCGATATTGTCAGTCACCTGTTGAAGCCTGATGGCTTTGTTTGTTTGTTTGAAAACTCGAGAGTGGAGAGGAGAGGGTGGGGTGGGGGTGAGTGATCAGGATGGTATGAAAAATTCAGCGATCTACAGAAGATGGAAGGGAATGACACGTAACGAAGTCATTAGGCAGTCAGGTCAAGCCCGACCCGTATACATCATTTTGTAAAAAACAAACTGGACTGGAGCGGTTCTGTTCTGGCGCCGCCTGAGGCTCCGCGTGGACCGACGGTGGACTAACCAAGCCTTTCAGTACCTTTAGTTTCGGAACTCTTTCGAATTTCGATGCGCGGACCTCACAGTTTCCGACAGAACCATACCCATCCTTTGCGGGGCAAACGGTGCTCTAGGTTGCCTACTTTCAGGAGCCTCAGGGATGCTCTCGGTTTTGATCCCCATCGCCTTCATTCTTCGCCCCCCACGGGAAACCGGGAGCACCAAGATAGTCACCTGAAAGGTAGGCAAAGAGCCATACTTTGCCCCCTGTGTGCTGCTTTGCCCGCCTCACAGACCAGCTCCGGATCCGCCACTGTAATTTTCTGGGCTCTTTCTACTCTGAAACAGAACAGAGAGAAGGTACGGTCGCAGGTACCTAAGGCCATGCTTAGATAGATGTTCCTCTCGTTCGTTTTGCTCGATGACGCCTGCAAATCCAGCCGGCGACGTCGCTCGCAGGGCGTGGCGGCGCGTGGCGGCGTGGCGGCGTCTCCTCGCCCTTCACGCGGGGCTTCGGGAGGCTCATTCCGAACGTTGCTTTCGTCGCCCTATCTCTCTCCCACCAGTACGGAACGCTCCATGAGTGCGAGAGAGACAGAGCGACGAAAACGACCCTCGGAATCAGTCTGCTGCAGGTAAACGAGGCTATAACAGAGCCCCCGGTGCACGTGCCCGCCAGTCCCGACGACGCGGCAGCCTCGCTGCCATGGCGGGTCCGCGACGACCAGGACACATAGCAACCGCGCTCGCGGTGCTCTTCTGCGCGGCGGACGCGGCGACCATGCAGGTGAACAGGACCAAAACAGGTCGCCAAACAGCACTCGAACCAAACGTGTGACCCCATCAATGGATTCCTCGTTCGGAGAGCGATCTATTGGTGGGGCCACACGTTCGGTTCGAGCCCTATTCAGCGACTCTGGAGCTCAAAACGCGTCCGGGACTTCGACCGCATCCACCCTTCTTCTGGGCCACTTTGTGACGCCGTGTCAATAGGCGACTTGAGCTAGGAGAAAGAAGAGGAAGAAAATACCTTCCCGAACATGGCGGACGGCCGCCGTCGTCTGCTAGGACCAATGAGGGGCCGGCCGCCATGTTCGGGAAGATCTTTTCTTCCTCTTCTTTCTCCTAGCTCAAGTCGTCTATGTCCTCGATGTGCAGGCCGGCGCGCGGCCGAGGCGCGGCCTGCCGCTGCTGCCCATGCCGCTGCCGCTGCCCCTGCCGCCGTCGCTGACGCCCCCGCGGCTGCCGACGCTGCCGCCGTTCCCGACGCTGCCGCCGCTGGGCGCCGTGACGCCGTGCCCGCCCTTCAGCGTGGCCGTCAGCCCGCCGGCGCTGCCCGTCACGCCGCCCCCCGTGCAGTGGGGGCCGTGGGGCGCCAACGCCGCCAACGGGTCGCAGGTGCCCGCCGTGCCGCACGCCCTGCAGGACGCCGTGCAGGAGAACCTGCGCAGGTGGGGGCGGCGCTGCAGACTGATTGCGAAAGTCGTTTTCGTCGCTCTGTCTCTCTCGCACTCATGCGGCGTTCCGTTTGGGTGCGAGGGAGACAGAGCGATGAAAACGACTCTCGGAACAAGTCCGCTGCCGTGGTGGATGGGCTCAGGAGGAGGGGGCGTGGATGATGCAAAAGTTGTCTAGGGGTAGTTGGGGTAATTATGGGACACGGGGTAAAAATGTGACAGCTGATTTTTAGTCAAAATTAGACATTTTAGAACGCATGACATTCCCAATGTGATGTTTTTATTGAGAAAATGACATTTGCTACGGCACAAGTTCTTAAATCTCGATTCTTGACTGAGAATCAGCTGTTCCATTTTTACCCCAACTGACCCCACTCACAACGGCAAAGTGGGGCTTTTTGCCTGCCTTTCATGCATGAAAGGCATGGGGAGGAACCTCGGAGAGGGTAAGGCCATAAAAGACCTCAGGAGGGGGAGGGAAGAGCGACGCCCCATCTTGAACTTGAGAGGCTAGACCACACGCCGCCTGCCATGCTTTGGATGGGCGGTCGCCGTCCATAATACGTATGCATCTTTGCTCGGTGACTGCTGTCGCCAGGGAGAACATAAAAGGTCCAAATGATTTCAATACGACATCAATCTGAACGAATTTTTCGTCCATGCTTGTTGTGACTTTGATCCGAGGGGGGAACAGCTTCCCTCATTCGTTGTACAAAATTTGACCACATTCAGGCGGCTAAAACGCCTGTAAGTAGGCAACATGTGTGGCAAAAACGCCAGAAATCTTGCACATTCTTGCACATTCACACAATCATTGTACACAAAATTTTACAGTGGGTCTCCCCTCGCTTTGATCCCATTTTGACCACTTGGTGCCCCTGGACAGGTTCTGGGACATGCAGAAGGCGATGGAGCGCGGGGAGTGGCCGACGCCGCCGGTGCCGGGGAGGCCCCAGTGCATCCCCTGCGGACACCCTCCCGGCCGCGTCCCCGGCGACACCCCGACGCCTGCGCCCCCCGCCACCCCCGTCGTCGGCACCGCCCCCGGAGGCGTCGCCGCCCCCGGCCTCGTCGGCGTGGTGCCGGGCGACCAACCGTTCGTCCCCGCGCCCGGAGCCATCCCGTCCAGGATGCCGCCAGCGTTTGCGACGACGCCGGCCTCGACTTCCGGCCTCCAAGACGAAGCGGGCACCTCTGCTGCTGCGGTGGCGCCGTCGGTGGCCGCCGCCACCTCAAGCGCTTCCACGACGCCGACGTCCCCACCGGAGGGCGCACCGCCGTCGGCAACATCGCTGCCGAGCTCAGTCGCAGCGACAGCAGCGCCGTCGACGGGGTCCTCTGGTGTCGCGGGCGGCGCTGCCGTGGGAGCAGCCGCCCCGCGCGCCGGCCTCGACGACGGCGGCGTCCTCCCTCTCGTCCCGGCGGCCCCGGCGGTCTCGGTGGCGCCAGCTGTCTCGGTGGCACCAGAGGTCCCGGTCACACCAGCGGTCCCGGAGGTCCCAGTGGTCCCGGAGGCCGCAGTGGTCCCGGAGGTCCCAGTGGTCCCGGAGGCCGCAGTGGTCCCGGAGGCCGCAGTGGTCCCAGTGCAGGAGCAAGAGCAGCCAGGGTCCGGAGTCGCAGCCCCGGCTGCCCCGGCGGTGGTGGGCGGCCCAGCCGCCGCGTCCGGCGTCCTGCCCGGCGGCATCGCGGCGGCCAGGGGCGAGGCCGCCACCTCCACGACGGCAACCGCGTCCACGGAGGCAGTGGCCGCCACCACCACCACCACCACCACGCAGAGCCCGGCTGGGGGATAGCGCACGGCACGACACTGCACAGTGGGCCAGAAGACCGGCGCAGGCGGCCAAAACTCTAGACGCGTTTTGAGCTCAGGAGCTAAGTGGGAATCGAACCGAACGTGTGACCCCCACAAATGGATTGCTCTCCAAACGAGGATCGCATTCGTGGAGTCACACGCGCGGTTCGAGTCCTGTTCAGCGAGTTTGGAACACGAAAAGCGTTTAGAGGTTTGGCCGCCTGCACCGGTCTTCTGGCCCACTGTGCACTGCTCGCAGAACTTATAGTGCCGTGTTCTTGCTGCAGCTCGGCATAAGCTTAATTTCTTACGTAGATGTACAGTAAAGGAAAATCCGTTTTGATGTCAGTGTCTCCGTTCAAGTCTCTGAGGAAGGGTAACAGAACAGAACCAAGACACTATTGGAATCGTCAAGAGCCGCCGGTACCAGAACCCTGGCGGCGAGGGGGAAACCACTCCAAGAAATCGTGTACAGAGTACTCGGTATTATGCGGTATTACGCTGTATTACAGGGATATTACACGTGTATTACGGCATCAAAATGGCCAAATTTGGCTCATTTGGCACAAAAATGGTGTTACAGTTACGTGTATTACGCGTAATACACGGTTTTTGTGTAGAGGGTATTACGCGAGTGTTTACCCCCTCGCCTGGCGGGGCCAGTCGGTGATAACCCGCGCTCGATGGTGGCGAAGTTTGTGTCAACCTGCATGGCCCACCTGTTCGACAGTTTTATGCAGTTCGATGAGTTTTTCCATCCCGCTTGCATCAAAGAATTCGCGACTCGCGTCAGTTTCGGCTTCCCGCACAATTGGCTTCCAAATCTCGGCGCTAGAAGCCAGCACATCTCGGCGCCGCGGGGTCCGGAGGGTCCGGCTTCACTGCGACCGACCGCGTCACGGTCCGGTGCAGGCCGCAAAGCCGCAGACTGAGTGCGAAATACAGCACACTGTTTTCCCGTCACGGCGAGATCAAGTAGTAGTGAAGCGTGAAATAGCTTCCTAGCTCACTTCTTCATTTGCAGCCAGTTTTGCCCCCGAGATAAATGGGTGGGTTCAAACCACCAGTGCTGTGCGCAAGAAGATGGGGGTGGGGGTCAGGGGAGAGGGGGTCATGCCCCCGCTCCTTTTGGCACTGGACAGTCGCCTGGAGGGTAATCAAATTGCGAGACACTCCACCTGAAGATAGGCAAAAATCGTGGCTATAGTGGGCCAGAAGACCGGTGGAGGCGGTCAAAATCCCGGACGCGTTTTGAGCTCCAGAGTCGCCAAAGGGGCCTCGAACCGAACGTGTGACCCCACCAATGGATTGCTCTCCGAACCAGGGATTCATTGGTAGGGTCACACGCTCGGTTCGAGTCCTGTTAAGCGACTCTGGAGCTCAAAACGCGTTTAGAGTTTTGGCTGCCGGCGCCGGTCCTCTGGCCCACTGTGCTTTACTTTTTGTTTTACAAAATTTCTGCGCACGCCACTGCAAGCCACTGATGTGCCCCGCTCATTCTGGAGCGTAGTTTCACCCACGACGAAATATTGTTTGCAAGGGCCGAAGCGTGAGTTTGTTTGTTATTGCGGTCCGTTCACACCAGAACCGAGGGGGGAACAGCTTCCCACATTCATTG